ACGGCATAGAGGCATGCAAATCCGTTGTAATGGTTCCACAATCAGCGTGAAATTGCCTGAAATTATGTCGGAAAGTTAATACCGACTATCTCCGCGTTAACTGGCAGTCAAGCATGATTGTCAGCTGCGGCACCTGTTGAGTGTAAAATTAAAAATCAGCAGTGTATGTAGAGTGGATTTGCCCTTGAAGCTAACACAGGAAGCAGCTTATGAAGACCTTACATCACTTGCTCAGAGACAACACTGAGTGGATGACTTCATGTGCTCTCAAAGATCAAAACTGCATCTTGAAATTTACAAGCAATTTCTCTGAAAGGGAAAACGTTTCAAAGCACCTGGCTGAGTTTGCAAGGAGATTCCTTCAGTGGAAAATATGCTGAATACAGCAAAAGTCATCTACAGCCGGTGGTCAAACTTCAATGACTCAATCTATGTGGGCAGACAAGATTACAGTCCTGTTGCCTTAAACCTACCACTGTATCTGGGCTGGGTCCTGGTTTGAAAGCCTGCCGCATCCAAATCACAAAATACAGACTAACATCGGGATCAAACAAGACCACACAGTTATAAGAAATGCAAAGGACCTTTTTTGTTAAACATCTGCATCCTACTGAGCAGGATGTTACTCCGCAATAGCTATTATCTATCTTCAAATGTTCTTAGATATCCGTTTTAGAAAGGTTACCGCAAACAGTAACAAGCAAAAAGCATGAAATATTCATAAAGCTGTCAAATATATATATGTTTTTAAATCCCCAGAGCCAGGGTGACATTTGACACTAATTGTGAGAGGCATTATTAACTGACATTAAATGATCAATAGAGGAATTAATCAATAATTGCAGCCCTGTGTCACAGGAAGTGTTATTCATATTAGCCATTTACTTCCACTCAACCATAATAATCTCACATCTGTAGCTATTTGCTACTTTTCTAATTCATTACTATCAAATCTGTTGCCAATATAATAGATTACATATTCAAAGACAAACCATAGCTTAAAGCATTATATCTATTCTTTAATACGAGGAAAATATGCACCTAAAATAAAAGTGAAACACCAAATATCAACTTGTTTGATCCACGTTCTTCAGTTTCAGTGTGACGTGTGAGTCCAGCGCGAGCTTCGCTTCACGCCGAACCCAAATGGAAACGTTACCTGTGGACTGTGTTTGATTTACGCCAACATCGAGCTGGATGCTCCGCTATCTAGCTCGAGTAACGGGTAACACTTTAACGTAAGTAACGCCAGCGACGCAGGAAATAAGTCGACAACAGAGGCTGAAATAACCCCGAATATCTCCAAAATGAAACGCACACTGCTGTCATCCCCGTTGGTTTTTTGACGGGCGGCTCTCAATGGGCATGTCTCGACATTCCTCCCCCAGGAAAATGGCACCAAAACTCCTGACTGAAACAACTCTCTGCCGTTACTTTTATGAACCGGTGAACCGACACCTCCGGGAGAACTCTGTCGACACAGCACAACTTGGGAATATTTTTTAGAGTCTTACCTGATAAATGTCATGGGTATTAAAGTACCAAAAAAAGTTTTCCCCAGTCTTCCAGCGTAATCTCCACACGAACTCAGTTCCCACTGGATCCACCAAAGGTAGGCTGCGGGACGCTGGGCTCCTCCTCCCCGCATGAGGTCATCTGTGAGGGGAGGCACATCCACAGAGGAACCAAGATGAAATACCCCTCCTCCTCCTCCTCTTTTCCTCTTCCTCCTCATGTATCTGTGCATGCCTCATGGACACGACAGGATGCAAGATGCAAGATACATGTATTAGGAAAACTGTAAGCTGCAGGGGGTATGGTGTTGGGACATAGCCAGAAATACGGAAGTCCTCCAAATCCCCCCCAATCCCCCACAACGAAAAATAGTTTCCTGGATTATCCATTTGTATTTGTTCAAGTTGCTGCTCATTATGATTGAAATAAAGCTTTTTCAGGGAATTTCCTACTCATAATCTCAACACAACTAAACAATATCCAATTAAAATAACTGCCTCAAAACGTTTCCCTCTAATAAATACCAGATCACATAGTTGTTGTTTGTTTCTTTGTTTGTTTTTTCCAGAAAACTTCCTAGAAATTATGACTCATCAAATAAAACTGTGTGATACTGATACATAAAAATAAACAAATACAAAATAAATCTTATAACACTGATGTTGAAAGCTAACTGAGTGCAGAGGTAAAGCAACATTAAGGATTTTGGTGGGCTGCTTTTAACCTTTTTCCATTTTGTCCGACGTTGTACTTTTGTGCACCAGTAGGCTTCATGTCACAGTAGAGGTGAGACGATTAATTCACTTCAGAATTTATGAACAACAATTTTGATAATTGGTGTAATTATTTAAGTCACTTATCAAGAAAAATTGCCAAACATTTCTGATTCCAGCTTCTAAAGAGTCAGGATTTGCTGCTTTTTTATTTTTCATATAATTGGAAAATTATTCATTTTTCATTTTTGGAAACAAAATAAGAAATTTAAAGATGTCATCTTGGCCTGTAAGACATTTTTTTTCACGCCTTTTTCAGATCAAAATATTTTACATATTATATAGTAACTTTTACTCCATATATTAATCTTGTTTTATCATTTTTGGCTACTCTGCAGATAAAGTAAGATTAAATAAGCTCGTAAAACATGATGCATTGCTACATTGCGCCACCTGGACGGGCTACAACATTAAAAGGCTGCTTTGCATCAAAGATTTATCACTCTGAATGGGGCCAGTCTTTTACAACAAGCACTTTTACTATTAATACATTTTATTGCTAATAATGATGTACTCTTACAATTTTGAATGAGAGACTTTTAATGGAGTATTTTCATTATGTTCTAAACAACCTGAGCACTGTACCTGATTAAAATGAGGTTGAATTTAAATAGCCTATGATGCCCACATTTTGAATGACCAGTACTAGCAATCTTATCAAGTATACTGTGTTACATCACCTGTCTTGATGCACAATAGGAGACGATGGGTTGAAACATGAGTCAAAGCTTTTATGTAAATGTAGCCTAATTGGCTTAGGTTTGCGAGTGGCTGTTAAAAGCAGGATGTCTTTCAGTAGCTTAGTGTGTGGTGCTGAATCTGTGTCTACTGTTGGCGTCATATCAGCACATATCTTACTTCAAATGTTATTTCTATGTAGAGGCTAGTATGTTCTCACCATGCAGGTACATACAAAACAGTATCTAATGAACTTAAAGCTTCAAACATGCAAATAAATGCCTACTCTGTGGAATACAATTAATTGCAATGGCTTTCTGACTCACCCTGCTCCATTGAGTGACGCTCACAGCACACCTTAGTCTATGGGGACCTCATGAGGTGACAATATTGTATGCAGTTTGTTTCATGTGCAAGATCTCACCAAAGATGTGTCCAACAGAAGTGTAATACCATAACATCATAACTGTCTTTTGTCAATTGTAATTCTGTATTATTTCTTGTGTAATGTAAGGAGTTAACCTGCATACTTTAAAAGTGTACTGTGTTGATAGGAATATATATATTTTGGGACTGCAAACCACATCTTCTCAGTCATCCCACCCCTCTGTGTGAGGCGGTGTTATACACTCGGTGTGCAGTGTTTTCTCAGCAGTGCGGTGGGCGTCACAGGGTCAGCGAGGCTCTTCAGATGGCAGGGAATGGGCAGACACTGGCAGTGAAATGCCCCATGTCTGCAAGGCATGAAGACCACCAACTGCTCCACTCCTCGATCAGAGCAGAAGAGGCCTCTGAACTTTACACACAGATGGCATCAAAGGCATGTGTGAACAGCATGAGCATCACAGAGAGAGTTTAAGGTCGGCACGTTGTGTTTGCAAAGGGCTATCGTCGAGTACTTTGTTGGCGAAACAAACGAGCGGATATTGTTTGAGGGCTTTCTGATGCAAACAAGAAGGTCACGAGCGAACACATGGACGACATGACACACGAGAACGGGGCAAACACACTTCCATGCTCACACACTCAGGATTAGGATTGGAGTACTTTATTTCCACGCTCGCAGGGCTTTTATTGAAACTAATAACTTGGACACAAAGGCATATTCTGCAGTGTGGGTGTGCAGAAGTATAGCATTACTAAAAGACTGTTCATGGCCCACGGTCTGGCAGCTGATACTTCCTGTCAATTATAAAGTCCCACGTAGTATATGCACAACTTATTTCTGAAAATAAGGTGCGAGAGAGCATACATTCTGAAATAAATCATAAACAAATGATTTAGTTTTTCGGATGTTTAAAGAAAATGGGCAACAAAACCACATAGCTATAAATCAGGATGCAGAAAATTGTGTAGAATTGAATCTGTCGTGGAGGAAATGCTCTCTGCAGGCCCAACGTGTGGCATTTCCCCAAAACAAACTTCAGGCTGGCTATATGATTTCATGCATATAAAAGATGCCCGACTCCAGCCTGCAGGATACAACTTTACTCATAAATCTGACCCTAAATCAGCATGCATCTTCTTTGTTTTACTTAACAGCCGTCCTCTCTTGCAGATGCAACATTTTGTTGAGAGTAATTTGCCCTCAAGCAAAGCTGAGCAGTTTCTGTGGCTCTTGTTCACTTACAAGACCTAGCTAGCCTTTATGGGAAGTTCCCCAAGAGTTCTTCTATTCACACCACTTAACGGTGAATCACCAAACACAATGGAAACCTTCATTCAAGCAGGATACTAAAATAGCTCCTTTGGCAACAATGAGGACAATTTGGGATTTTGGATCATGACGATAGTCCAGATTTAGTCATTGGAGCCACTTGTTACACCAGTTTTTGCAATGCACAGGAGTACTGAGGAAAGTGAATAAATGCCTGAAAAAGCAATGACGGTTGAAATCGTTTGATTTTTGAAGGTCACAAATAACCAGATTTTTTGTTTGTTTGTTATAAATGGCACTTTGCTTCCACCTAGTGGTCATTGTAGCTTACATCAAAAATAAACATTGAGGAAAAAGAAGATCTGCAATCTAGCAAGGGAATGCAAATTATTCATCTTTATTTATTCATTTGTATTCTTTTTTTAAAATCAAATCTAATAAGAGCCGAGCAATACATAGTGAAGATTTCACTGGGGGGGAAAAAAAAAAAAAAAAAAAAAAAAAATTTTTAAAAAAATAATATATATATAAGCTTTCTCAAAAACCTCACTTAACAACCCCCATATTAAACATACCCAAACACCATCTGGTTTTCATCAGCTGGGAAATACAACTACAGCATTTCTCTTACAACGCTAGAAAAGACACATTCAATGCTGGTTTATAGTATTCTCACAAACAAGTACAGCCCAGAAAGTAAACACAGAGCTTGATGAAAGCTCTCGCTCCCTCTCTATAAACACGGACAATTTACAGACAACATGCCAGTCCCCTCATGTGTCTAACACTTCAGGTTCGTGTTTCACGGTTGGCTTGACACGGTTCCCTCTGAGATGTTGTTCAAAACTTCCTCGGCTGCTGGATGAGAAAGGTCCGGGGGGAGTGGGGCTTCTCCACTGCGGGGCGCAGCTTGCTGTGCCTCACGCTCACTGGCGTCTCTGGAAAGTCATGGCTCAGCTGCAAACAGGCAGGAGTTTATTACACACTGTGGCATGAGAGGCACCGTGACTTTTTTTTTTTTAAAAAAAAAGGCAATGTTTTTTTTCTTTACCTTGTCAAGAGTTCCTGCCAGAAGCATACTAACTTGTTGCATCCTGTTGGATGTGGCGAGGGACCTGCAGCAAGATCACACGTATAAAAACAAATTTCAATAATCTACTAGATCAAAAATACTGCCGACTATTCTAAGATTTTATGGTGTGAGACAATAGCCCTTTTAGTTAACACTTCAAACCCATTTATTATATCTTAAGAGATGAGCACTGCCAACCTTGGTTTATCAGACCTCTTGGTCTCCTTCTCTGGAGTCCCATGGGTGCCATCTTCCATGCTTTTCTTGGCTACCCGTTTACCTCCAGCCTTCACTGTTGACCCAGAGAAGAAAATGGTTTAAATTCGAGTTATCTACAAAAACTAAATAGAATCAGCTCTGTAGCCCCCTGTGTTCAGCAGATTTACTAAACTTTACTTTCTGTAAACCTGAAAAAACTAAGTCCTCTACAAAACTATTTGCAGGCTAGAAATATTACTTTTGGGAGTTTTGTTGCTGTTACAATGCTATACAGATGGTCAAAGTATTATTCGAAGTTAACTGGAATCCAAGTTCAGCAAGTGGCACAGTATCTCCAACCTGTGGGTCAGGGATCAATCTGACGATTAAAACAGTAACAAAGATTTTTTTTTTTTAATTTTTGTTCCCTTTTTTAACCAACCTCTTTAGGCCTGATCATTGAAATCAAAACAAGAAAAAAAAAAAATCCTTCTTTGATTTATCGACTTAGAAGTCACGCCCTCACTAAAGCCAGGCTGTGATGATGGGGGGCCACACAAGAAGACTTTACTTCATTTTTACAAAACAACTAATGCAACGTCTTTTCGACGTGAGTTAGACGTTTTAAGCAGCTCTCCATAAGTCGTGCAATGCGCACTTAAAATGCAAACAAGTTAAGCATCGAGGGTATGTTTACATGCAAAAAGGGAGGCTGCCTACAAAACAATACAAAACAAAAAAAAAAAAATAAAAAAAAAATAAAAAGAGACCCCCCCCCCCCACCCACTGATTGTGAAATTGCTTCTAATAACAGTCGGTTTGCACGACGAGGGTTTTGCATGCATGCGTTTCATCGTGCTTGTATGAGGATTCAGCCGATGAGAACATCGTGTTACATTCAACGGGGGCCTGCTTGTAAAGAAAGTGCGTGGGGGAGAACACAAAAGTAGCCCGATGGATGCAATTAGCATGACAGAAACCAGCGCATCACACGACACGAGCACACTGTAGCACAATGTGCATCATAACAGGATTAAAAAAAACAAAAAAAACAGATTAACTACTTGATTCAACGTTTTAAATCTGCACGGCTCTCTCTCTATCTGGGTCGAGAACCGAGAAAAACAACAACGTATTGGCTTCATTGTCTTCAAAATAAAACTCCACGCTGCAACACGAAGTGTGCGCGAACAACAGTTTACCTGCAGGAGGATGACCAGCTTTCAGCAGAGGAGTCTCCTTCGCTCCAGATTTGGAGAGTTGCTGCACCATTGTTGAAAAACTTTCCGGAGTCAAAGCAAAGAAAGCACCACACTAACAACTCTTCTCAACGCCCACTCGGTTGTTTTTATGCTCAAACCGAGATGACGTCCTGTTTGGCTAACAGGAAGCACGCAGTCAGAGAGACGCCTAGGATGTGGAGCTCTGACTTATAAAACGACAACGATACAATGTCTCATTTTGATCAATTACTTACAGTTAATTTCTCAGGAAAAAAGATTGTATTTCTGTTTTACTGAAGTTGCTCTTTTTTATTTTTTATTTGAAGGACCGTCTTATTTTGAAAATCTTGGCAAAGCCGTAAACTGTAAAATTAAGACGCGCCGCAATCCACACAGTGCTCTGTGGCTGCCTGACAGAAACAGTGGACCTGAAATACATGCACATTCGAACACAAGCGTAGTTCATGTATAAAAATCAACTCAGTGCAACTAATACAACTACCAAAACAAACTCTCTTTTCGGGTCTGGAAATTATCTTTGTGCTTCTGTGTAAAAATGCACATGCCCTGCCACGATTTGATGCAAGTTGCTCTTAGGTATCTTAAAATACACATTCATTTCATTTTACTTGAAGTAAACATTGATATCAGTATAGACCTACACTGTGTATGATTACAGCTGTAAATAATCACTGGTGTATTCAGTTACTCTGGCTGAATAATCCTCAGGGTGAGGTTGGCTTTTAATATGTTTTATCTTCTTTTAAAAGACCTCTCCTTCCTTAGAAGTGTCACTCAACTTAAAGATGACAGACTCACTGCTCTGTAAACAAACACATATTCTCTTGTATTCTGTGTCTTATTAGCACATGGTTGAGTCTGTACAATATGTTCTTGCGCAAAGTGCAGAGAACAGGAAGCCTGCTGGTCGTCAAATGACTAACACACTTGTTTGGGAATATACAGTAAAATATCCACTGGCACGATAAGGGCTTTAAGGATGTTATCTGATCGTAAAGCCTTGTTTTGTCCAAAAACCCTGAGGCTAGTTTTTAAGACCTTTCATCATGTCAGTTTGGTACTTTTGTGTTTAAGCCAGTTATCACACAGCAAACCTCGGACCAGGTAGCAGAGAAAAACGGTATATATTGCACAGTGAGGGGTTAATAGGTAACCAGAAGGATTTTTTTGCATATTAATCCTGCCATGGTCGAGGACAATCACAGACCACCTGGGGGAATTTTTCCTGTTTGTGGTTTTATTTTCTTATCTTCTTAAACTTGCATTACTAGTACTTCTATTAGGACTACTGCTACTTTTCTGCTTTAGTGTAGCTACACAGAGGGGGATGGTGTCATGTCTGTAGTCAATGCTTATGGTTCCGTCAATTTGTTTACTTTAATATGGTGATTATTCTTTACACAACTGGAAAACAACCCTGATCACTACTTTACAGAGAAGTAATGTAATTCCAACGCACTGATAGGTACATACCAGCCCTTTGCATTTAGTGGCAAGCGGAAATCATGATCAGTGTTCCTTGATGCACTTATTTATGATGAGCTTATTTGAAAGTTCACATTCTGAACATGCACTTATAGTAGGATAAAGGGTGCATCTTGAACTGAAAGCTTTCACACAAACAGTTAAAAATCTGGACGTTTACACGTTTATGTGGACCTACAGTATTAGAACGTTTTATCAAACACAGGGCTGCTGATTGAAAGCTGGCCTCCTTCCACTCATGTTTGTGTGAATGCAATGTAATGAAACTTCCCCCCCCGACAGGAAACTGCAGAGAATAAACTGTCCAAGAGAGAGAGAGAAGAGTTTGATTTCTCTTTTGGGTTCCTCCCACATTCACACTCTTTTCTGTTTGTGTATAGAAACAGAAATAAGTGTGAAAGAAATGTTTGCACTGTACCTGTGAAAAGATGCAACTACACCACAGGTTTAAAAAACAAAACTAACCTTTTATTATTTTAGCATGGTTGTGTTATGCCATCTTTGTCCACATATTTCTTCATATGTTTATATATCTATAGATTTAACATGGCACATGTTTCTTTTTTTAACCAGTGCTGATGAGTGTAAACCAGGTAACATGTTTTATTTCTGTATTTACAATAAAATGAAAGAAATGTACAAGACTTCATGGCATTACACAGTTTCAACATTAAGTACAGATACAATTTTATCCCTCTGTACAGTCTAACATCATTAGTGTACTATTTTTGTTTTTTTGTGTGTGTGTGTTTTTTTTAATTAACCGATACGAGTTCATGATCCATTTTGGCTTCAGCACATACACATTCCCCATCTCAACTCTTACCGCAGACCCTCGCTCACATGACTCACACCTTTCAACATGCTATCACAGCTAAGAGTTTCATAAAGAAAATAAAACTAACATCTAGACAGGACGCACGTCTCCTCGCTGTAGTGAAGGGGATCGTCCCTCAAAAGGCCCCCAGCATGATTCCATCTTCCTCTACTAAATAAAAAATAATTTAAAAAGAACATTCCTTGATTTCCTTCTTTGGCACACATTCCAGCTTTCCATCTGCCATCGCTCAGTTGAACTCCCCCTCCACACACACACGCATTCACTTTAAAAACAAACACTTATGAAGCCAAGTTCATGAAAAAAGTTTTGTCGGTTCTCGTGTGCTCCTCGGGCCCTCGGACCTATACCCAGGAGTCAGGAGAGCCGGGGTACTGCTCTGCCCTGTACGAAGGCCTCCGTGTGCTAGCGTAAAAGTCCACATAGTTGGTGGTGGATTTCGGTCCGTGAGACTGGGAGCTGTAGTCCCCCGTGGGCGGGTAGGCGATGACCTCCTCCAAGTACGGGTCGTCGTAGCCGTGGGGATGCTGCAGGTACATTCTGTACGTATCGTAGTTCCTCCTGCCCGGCTCCTCTGTGTAATACATGGGCTGCAAGGACAAGAGACAGATTTGATTTTCACTGATATATGATGAAGAGCCAGCAGTGGGAATCACATTTGCTCAAGTGCCGTACTTAAAAGTTATAATCCTCATGAAATCAATTCCATGAGTCAAATCGTGAAATCAAATCCTTTTTGATTCTCTTTAGTTTTCAATGTTAGAGGCGGAGTCTACAAGAGTCAAATCGCCATCACAAGATATTCACAGGGAATTATCCTTGTATGTAATCTAGTGTACCTGTTTCTAACTGTTTACTGTTCACCCTCCTCACACCGCATCAGAGTCGATATGGACTTAATGCGAACTGAACATTTCCCACTGCCTCATATTAAAAGCATTCAGACTGGTAAAATATCAGGAGGCTTTTATTGTGAAGCAGTCCAAGGAAAGCGGAGCAGTTAGATGAGGAGTTACAGGTGATGCCAAATCAACCAGGACGGACATTTTAAGGATTCAAATGACAGTTTTGAGGTATTTGTCTATTTTCATTTCATGCTACTTAATCACTACATTTCAGAGGGAAATGTACGGTTTACTCCACTACATTTATCATGCTGGTAAAGTTAGTGGCTACTTTGCAGATGCCAATTTTATGATGCATCATCACCCTTTAACATATCAAGTAAATACAATTAACTTAGACATGAAGATTGATACACCACTAATCTACTCATGTCTATCTGTTGAATTGAACACTGCAGCCGGCAGGTTAGCTTAGCTTAGCATAAAGACTGGAAACAGCAAGCATTGCTCAGTCCAATGGAAACAAATTATGCCTGACAGCACAATCTCTTGTTTGTTCAATCCATACAAAAAACGAGGTGTAAATAAATTAAAATGTAGTTTTAAGTATTCCAACAATTTAAGGATCCGAGTACTTCTTCCACCACTGTCAAGAACACAAATATTTTTGTTAGATACGTCCACTTGTTGGTAATAAAATGAAACAACACATGCTGACATCTCTGCAGTTTCAGCTAAACGCACTCTTGTCTGGCTGGAGTTGTTGTTTTTTTAAGCCAGTAAACTAATCAAACACCTCAGAGCCGACACGTCTCGAGACACTAACGCAACAGAAAACTGCTTCAAGGTAAATGCTATAAATCCAGAAGATAGAAGGAATTTATCTGAAATAAATGAGGTGACGACTGTCCTCGAACATTAACTGGCCTAAATGTGATGGGATGAAGGACACAAGAGAACTCTCTCTTTTGTCTCTGACATCTCCTCCCTCCTGCCTCCTTCTCACTGTGCCTGTTATCTGAACGGGCACACATGGATGTGTCCCGCAGTGACAGGTGCCTGAGACGCACCCAGACCATCCCAATCCCAGCAGTCACAATCACTCTCGCTCAGACAATAGCTGATGTGCTGGGTCATTCCCGGCATCGGCCATTTATCCGCAGTGTAATACGCGTCAGTCTCTTTGTATTAGTCAAGTGGGGTGGAAGAGCCGGGTTTATACAGAACGGTGGAAGGATCTCAAACACCGGCGTTGTACTATTGCTATCAAACACTTACTAGAAGCAAACATTGATCAAAAAATAAACAAAAAAGTATAATTCATTTAATTGTTTTGAGTCATTTATCAGGCAAAAATGTTAAACATTCTCTTTTACAAGCTGCTTTTCTGCCTTGTAAATCATTGGCTATTAAATATATTTAGACTGTTGTTCAGACAAAACAACCCTTTGAAGCTCTCACCCAAGGCTTTCTCTATTTTCGGGCATTTCATGACTAATTGGTTGACTGAGAATCCACAGATAAAACAATAATGAAGAGTGCAAAGCTTTACTTGGTTGTATTTTTGTTGTTTTTGATGCATTTAAATCTACCAAAATATAAATATCGTGGATGCAGCACTGATTAGCTGCTGACTCATGCAATATGCAAAATTGTCAGAACTTTCAGCTAACACCTAAATTATAGTGACAACATATAATAAGGAATAATAGAAAACTGTGTACACATGTCCCTCTGTGCACCTTGTCCTACATGCCTCAAATGTGTGTTATTGTATGCGATTACACAAGATGCTATTATGTTATATCATTGCAGGGGGCGCTGCTCGTTGTTGCCAATACAATATTCTGCACAAATAAACAAAACTTAATAGGTAAAAACAGAGTTAATTTGCATTGTGGAAACAATCTAATGAGGTGGCATGGCAGGGTTGAATCATAGCAAAGAAAACACAAGCGGATATGAATGCAGAGCTTGTGAAACAGAACCAAACATTTATGCAGACTGATTGTATTCACCTGTGTTCTTCTGGGCTCCTCTCTTGTGGGGGATGAGTAGTAATATGGAGAAGGCTTTCCAGACCCTGGAAAAAATAAATAAATATAAAGAGAAATTCAGTGGGACTTGAAGCAAATACACTGCATTACTTCATTTCATACCAAGTATGCACATCCCCATAGGATAAAAAATGTCTGTATTTAGATAGAGCAGGATCAAGAAGCGCTATTCTATGCTGTGGAGAGCAATAACACCAAATAATAGAGTTGGCCACTGCTGTTCTGTTGTTTGCATAGCCCACGGGATGGGTATTTCTGTTGGCACTTAACCCGACCGGTGGAATCCGGAAACTCAATTTCTATTTCGTTATGTAAAGCGTGGACTGTTGAGGCTGCGGCTCATTTTGTTTACTCTTCCCTCCCGTTGCTCCCGCCGACCAGCGTAGGCTGGCAAGAGCTCTCGTCTGGCTGTAGTATGTCTGGGTACCCACTCACTCACTGCCCCCTGTCTGCATGCTACGGCTTGGGCCAGCTAACAATGGCACCGTTGTGAAGGGTCCTCCACTGGCTGACCAGTTCACTTTACTGCTGTGCACACCAGCTCTGAAGTGCTCTGAATTGAAATGACTGACTGTCTCAGGGCTGGCAGGCATTAGGGGAGATGATAAAAGGGACCGCCTTGGCAGGGAGACGACACTGGCCATGGAATCTGCTTGGAGCGTTGTGAGGGATAAAATAGATAAAGCCTTGCACCGAGAGGACCAAAGGGTAGCCTGGGATTACAGTCTGGTGCAGAAAGTGGACACAGTTTTAGTACAGTTTTAAAGACCACTAATATGCAAACTGTACGGACTTTCAATAGCTTTCAGATGTGTGCGTTGTTTGAGTACCTGTATACTGATTTTTATGGATATTGTTGTCCCCTTGGTAATTATAAAATTGCATAGTTGACTGTGATCTCTGGTAATCTCTGTTAGTGTCTCTATGCTCTTTAATGCCCAGCATGGCAGGAGACGACGTGGCACTGGCAGCTGTGAAGAGAAAAACACATTTCAACAATAAATTCCAGAGGTTTTCCTGTTGCACTGGCGGAGTTTATTTTCATCTGGCAGTGTCTGTAGGAAACTAGAGCATACCAGGGTGGTTGACTGGGGACATCTGAATGGTGCTGGTGGGGAGGGTGGGCTGGGACTTGAACCTGTCCCGTTCAAGTGTTGACACTGGAGTGAGGAAATGGTTTTGGTTCCATCCATCCTGTTGGGAAGAAGAGAGAGAGGAAAAGTGGTGGTTTGAATAACTAGAGCAGTGCTGGATTTTGGAAAACTCTTGTGTGGTATCTTTAAAAATGTCTTTGGTCACAGAGGGAATATATCAAAAGAATCCTTTGCTGTGTGGCCCGCAGTAAGCCCATATCGATAAAACAAGTACACACTGAGAATTACAACATGTAACAAATGTTTAACAGTTTCTTTCTTACAGTTAAACTGCCTCTCCTTGCATAAGGTAATCAATTGATTGTGAACAGACAATAGTATGTGACTGTTTAAAGTCTAAACGGTACCATCACGGGCCCTTGCCATCAGCCACAATGCTCTTACTTTCTTATAGATGGTACGCAGATCCCGGTACTGCCACAGTGTGTTCAGCACCTGAGCAGATGCTTTAACCACCTTCAGAGAGTACCTGGAAAACACAGAAAAACATAAACGTGTACTTTTGAGTATTCCCGAATCACTTCAACCTCATTTCAAATCACATTGTAGATATCACAGGACAGCGTGATTGAAGGAGGCGAGTGTCCTCAGTGGCTTGTAACCTGGAACATCACTGAATATATAGTGGGTTTAGAAATAGCTGCTGGTACATCAATCCACAGGGACATAAAACCTCAATGCACACGAAACCACCTTCCCTGTGGCTCCGGTCTCCTCTTCTCTGAGCATTTAAATGTTCGTGTGTGTGTGTGCGCTTATTAAATGTGTAAGTGTTTGTGTAAAACTGTCCAATGTCCAGGACAGTCTGTACAGCCTTGCCACCAGCCACATATGGCTCTTTGTGTATCCTAGCAGTGCATTTGGGCACGTGCATATGTTAGCGAGAGCGGTTTACATCAGTGTGCACTCGACACCCTCACCAAACACGCTGGGACAAATACATGTTGCTGGAGCCCACCTGTCTCCCCTGCCCTTGGTGATGTTGACCAGCTTCTCGATGCCGCCCGTGTCGGCCAAGGCCTTGGCGTTCTCCATGTTTTTGCTGGTGACCTCGTGCAGGGTGCAACAGATGGCCGCCACCGTCTCGTCTGACAGCAGGGTGGTGTTTCCCCCGGGGAGACGATTGACCAGGTCCCTCATCGCGTACTTCCCTGAGAGGGAGGAGGGAGGAAGTGAGACATGCAGCTACCTCATTATGACGCAGTGTACAGCAGTTTATGCACGGACAGAAGACACACAGACTTCATTGTATTTATCTTTCCATGTTACTTAATGTAAAAGTGAATGCCTGCCACAGTGACCTAAACGATATCTTGTGCTTGCTATATGAATGATATATTAATATCTGCTCGGGACTGGGGGGAGGTAGGCAGTTTTCCTAAATGACATTGCGTTATCATCACAAGGACGTCAGAGTGTGAGCATGCTGGTGTTAAAAAAAAAAAAAAGGATTGTTTCCCCTATCTCTCCTTCAGCAGAGCAGCCTAGCCGAAGGACCTGAATACATGCAGCATTGACTCTCTCTCTCTCTCTCTCTCTCACACACACACAAAACCAAAAGCACCGTAAACACTACACTGCAACTCCTCCCCCATCTGCCAGGCGTCACCCCTGCATTGCTGAAACTGTAACTCCTCATTAATTCCACACAGCGAGTGCATAAAAACTTGTTTTTCATTAAATGCGAGTTTAATGGAACAAAATGGGCTGAGATGGAATGAAAAATGATAACCAGTAGTGAAAATGTTCACAAGTATTTTAAGCACATTGTTTAACGGTGTTTATCTTGTCAGTAGCTATAATATACAAAGAATGTAACTGTTTGGGATGTAATGTGCCGAGTACCCATTCCAATTCAGTATCAGTTCAATTCTGATTCATGTTTTACCAGTTTCCAAAGGATCCTGTTGCATATAGCTCCCCATAAATCCTATACACTTCTGTACTGAGCAATTAAATAAAGTAGTTGTAATGCAAATCAACATATTATATTCACGTTATTTGAACCCGTTTACAACATGGCTCATCAGTGCAACATGAGCTACATTGTTAACTTAAACAAAGTCATGGTAAGGAGAAAAGGAATTAAGAATCTTCATATTCATCTTATGCAACTCATCAGAGTCAATTACAGTCTGAAATGAAACCGTGTGACTGACCTATGAGCTCCTTGTTCCTGACATCCAGCGCCATGTTCCTCAGAGCAGTGGCAACCGAACTCACCACCCGGTCGTTATCCATCCGCAGCAGCTCCACGAGGATGGGCAGTCCCTTCTCCTTACGCACTGCTGCACGAATGTATGCTGCAAACTGAGCACACAAAAGGCATTAAACCTCCAAAAGGGTCTGGACGCCTCACAGAGGGGAATGGATGGTCCTAAAGTGTTTTAACGCAAAGCTGACGTCAGCTATGACTGACAGTTGATTTAGATTGTTTGGGAATAGATGCTTGAGATAAATAGTCTCCTGGAGAGTGCGTGTGTTTGTTTGTGTGTACATACATACATACACAAACATTACTGTACCTTCCAGTTGCCAGCTGACAGGTTCTGAAGGGACCCAGCGGCGCCCTCCAGAGTGGCGGGATTTGAGCTCTCAGCCAGCAGTGTCAAGTAAGGTTTAACCACCGAAGGGTGCCATAACATCTCTGCCCCCTTGGGAGACTTGGAGAAGCCGGGGATGGGTCCGACACCGTCCCACTGAACGAACAATCACAGTGTTTAATAATGTTAGATGTTTTTCTTGTCATAAAGATGGTACTGTACACAATGAAGAACAAACAGGACGTGACTGCAAGGTTTTCCATATGTGGTCCGAACTTTGACATACATGTTGAATAAATGTGGACGCGTCACACTTTTTGCTGATTTGAATATTGCACTGAGCACCACACTCACCGTGTCTTCCTGCAAGCTCTTTTTCTTCTTCTTTTTCTTCCTGCCCCAGCAGCTGGAGTCCACCTCTTTACTGGGCAACTCGCTGCCCAGTAAGCCATCTAGCTCCTGCCCCTCTATCTGCCGGGATGGCGGCAGCTCCAGCTCCAGACGATACGACAGGTTCCTTAGAGTGCAAATACAGTTCTCCACAATCTGTTGGCGGGCAGAAGGAGACGGGGGGGGGGGGGGCGAGTGGTTACAGTCGCGACTGTCAGCACGCTACACTATATGCTGCCAGTGTGTGGTACACAGGCCTGCTATCTGCGGCGTCACAAATCAATTCGTTATGGAATCCAAGGGGTCTCCAGCAAGAAAGATTATCTGGACCAGAGCTAATTTTATTCCATGCTGTTTGAGTTCTGTGCAGGCTTTGCCTCACAGAATGTCAATGAGCATACATGTCTGACAAAATTAAGGGGCCCAGTTCCCAGGGGGATGTGATCTCCACTTTACAGATGAGCCACTTGACTTTCTATGTCTTTTACAGTCCACAGATGCACGTCTGATAGATCTGGACTAATTTCTACAGCTGCCATAGGAAAATGTTGGCACACTCTATAGCAGGTCAATGAGCTACAGGCTATTGGATTCTACATGTTGTGCATGTACGAGTTGTGCTTTGGGTGATAAAGTAAATGAAATAGTTACTGCTGGATAATGTGGAGGTCATTCCGTCACAGGCAATAAAATGATTCAAACGGGGTTAAGTGGGATTTTCCCCCAGAGCCTCTTATCATGTGGCAGCATGTTTTCCTCCTGTGCGTGTGTGTGCGTGTGTGGGAAGTGTTTTAGTGCATACTTTACT